AACTGGGACTCAAATCAATGAAGTGGATCAGAAGGAAGAAAGAAACAACCAAACAGAAAAGAATGAAGAAATAAGAATTCAAAAAAATGAGAGGCTTAGGAACCTCTGGGACAACTTTAAACGTTCCAACATCCCAATTATAGGGGTACCAGAAGGGGAAGAGGAAGAGCAACAAGTGGAAAACTTACTTGAACAAATAATAAAGGAGAACTTCCCCAATCTGACAAAAGAAATAGACTCCTAGGAAGTCCAGAAAACTCAGAGTCTCAAAGAAGGTGGACCCAAGCAGGAACACACCAAGGTACATCATCATTACATTAGCCAAGATGAAAATGAAGGAGAGAACCCTAGAAGCAGCAAGAGATAAGGGGACAGTCACCTACAAAGGAGTTCCCATCAGACTGTCAGCTGATTTCTCAAAAGGGACCTTATAGGCAAGAAGGGACTAGAAAGAAGTATTCCAAGTCATGAAATCCAAAGACCTACATCCAAGATTGCTCTATCCAGCAAAACTTTCATTTAGAATGAAAGGGCAGATAAAGCATTTCCCAGATAAGGTCAAGTTCAAGGTGTTCATTATCACCAAGCCTTTATTATATGAATTGTTAAAGGGAATCATCTAAGAAAAAGAAGATAAAAAAACATGTTTAGTAAAATGACAGCAAACTCACAGTTATTAACAATCACACCTAAAACAAAAACAAAAACAAACTAAGCAAACAACTAGAATAGGAACAGAACCACAGAAATGGAAATCACATGGAGGGTTAGCAACAGGGGAGTGGGAGGAAGAGAGAGGGGGGAAAGGTACAGAGAAAAAGTAGCATAGATGGTAGGTAGAAAATAGATGGGGGGGAAGGCAAGAATAGTATGGGAAGTGTGGAAGCTAAAGAATTTATGACACATAACATGAACTAAAGTGGGGGAATGTGGGAGAGAGGGTGTGCAGGGTGGATGGGAATGAAGGGGGGAAATGAGACAACTGTAACAGCATAATAAAATATGTTAAAATTTTTTCACTCGATATGTAGACAGAATGGATCACTAAAGAGACTCAATAATAACCAGAAATCAAGATAGGTTTTTAGTTAGTAAGTTAAATGTTCTCTTAATTGAATACTAAAGGTGGGGATTGCTCTTTAAGAAAGTACTTGACTATGGTTTTTAATGTGATAGCAATTCAGGATTTAAGTGTCACATGTTAGTGGACTTTTTAAGAGAACAAAGGGCATTAGTTAGTATTGAAACAGGAATTGGATTTGTAACCAAGTGCCTCTTTAGCTACCTGCTTTCAGTCAAAGGTCACTGGCCATCCACTGCCCAGCATTATTCCAGTGTACAGTCTACCTCTTAACATCTTACATGTGAGAAGATCTTTATAAGCTTTTTGATATCTGAATTAAAAAATGTTGCTGTTTTTTTTAATTGAAAGCAACTGGCTTGGAAGCCGTAAGGGTTTTACATAAGATGATGTCGGGCGATACTGCTCCTAATTGCCCTTGCTAGTAGTTTCACTAATAAATTCAGTTAAGATCCCAGAGCTACGTTTGTTTAAAGCTAAAAGAAATGATTTTTGGCACCTACAAGCTCCTGTGGCTGTCACATTTGGGTTGATGTTTGTTTTCTTTTTGTCATGGTGTTTATATGCCCTGGCGTGGGCCATGAGTGAAAATGCATTTGATGATCTCCTGGCCTCACCCCACTCCCTAGTGAATGTTTATATAGATGACAACACCCAGTTTGGTGCTGTTAACACTCCTGCAGCAGCCTGGAACTAGCCTGGGGGTGAGGGAGTATGTGCTGCATGTGACAGTTGGGGGCATAAATGGTGAGGTCAGGAGCCTTCTGTGAAGTAAACATTCTCTAGGTATCCAATTCTAGAAGCACCTTTTTGTGCTGTCTTCCATAGTGCCTTCCTATAGGAAAAGACTATAAATATTCATTCAATCAGATAATCTCACAACTTGATCATTACCTTCTGGAACTCTAATTCTGGACTTGCTCTTAGGAGCCCAGATCTCTCAGCGTTGACAAGGACACACTTATGAAAATAAGACAGTGTTGTGCAGGATGAGGGTTGCAGGCTGCTGTCTGGGGCCAATTTATGGTATCATATGCAGCATCCCTGTGTAGGTTTGACTGTGAGCTTGATTAACATAGCAGATACTCTTCCAGATAGCATATTTAACAAAATGCATTCGCTTTTCTATTTTGCTCACCATTGTACTGAGCAGTGTATGTGGATGTGTTGGACACAGTGGGGCCTTTCAGGAAACAGCAGGATGATTCTAGGCAGAGCATGACAGGTCTTTAGAGGGACACACCTGCTCTAACCCAAGCCCACAAGCAAACTGTGGACTGAAAAGAGGCTCCATGAATTGAGCATTGACACCGAGCCATGGCTGTCCGAAGGCTCAGGTGGTTGTCAGCCATAAGTTTAGCTTAGCTCTTTGAGTAATTTGTCACGCCTCACTCAGCTCCTGCTGGGCCAGCACGTGCCAGCTTAGTGTCAGAGTGCCTGTTCACCAGACGGCCACTCAGGCCTAACATCCTGCTGTTCTTGCAGACCAGCAGCTTGCTGGGGCCATGCATGGAGGGCTGAGTCGTGGCAACAGCCAAGTATTGTGCAGAATAAGCATGTTTAAAATGAAACACGAATGGCATCAGTGGGTCCCTCTAGAATTGGGCCTGAATGAGTGCCTCTTGCTAAGGAAGTTTGGCAGTCTGTTCATTAGTTAAAACGAGTCACCAGGAGCTCAGCCTGCAGTTGAGAAACCAGTTCAGGCTCATGCTGCCCAGGCCTTGGACTATTATGACCATCTATATAAAAGATCATAAATCATCAAGGGGCCACTTTTGAAATCTTGAAATTCATTTTCCTTTTTTAAAGTTACATAGAGTAAGCCTAAGGAGAAATTCTGGAATAGTGCTGTCCAGCAGGTCATTCTACGATGATGGGCATGTTCTGTCTACAATCCAGTATGGTAGCCCCTAGCTACATCTGGCTATTGGGTACTTGAAATATAGCTAGTGGGACAGAGGAACTGAATTTCTATTTCTTTTATTTTAGTTAATTTAAATTTCAATTTAGATAGCTACATATGACTTGTAGCTGCACAGCCCTAGAATGCTTCTTGTCTCCTCATGGTGTGAAAAATCTCCTTCTGAATATAATTGAAGAGGAAGAAGGAAGAAAGACCTGCACTGAGAAACTGGTTTGCATACTTTGCCAAAAGAAAACAGAAAAATCTATTCCTATTTTAAAACACGTGCTCTATCAAAAACTAAGTAGAAGGGCATAATTGTTATAACTCATATTTTTAAAAGGCCATTTTGAAAATATAATGAGAAATGGCAGAATTACTTTTGTTCTTCTGGTGCTACAGGCAATAAACAGATGATGGTCCACATTTTTATGTTTCTGGAAAATTAGCATGATTTTTGAAATAACTAAAACACATCTTTTAACTTTGGTATTGATGATGCAGAAGGGGAAAATGAGACATCATGCCAACTTCCCCAAGTGTTAATTCATAAAGTCATACATGTGGTGGCCCCATCGCTGTTGAATTGTCGTGACGCTTTCCTGTTATTGAAAGTGCATGATTCACCTTCTAAGGAAACAGAAGCCACACACAAAAGGGGAAGATTTGCTTTCTGCCCCGTGAAAGGCAGCCACACACAGGGGTCCTATTAAGACAGCTGGAAAGTTGCTTCAGCATGTTACGCTTGTAAGTTTTATTGGTGACTGGTTTTTGATTGCACATTTGAATGCGTGTGTTCCAGACTACAGTTTTAATTAAAAGCAGCAGTCTTTTAAAAAAATTATTAACTTGCACATTCTCTGTTAGATTCTCTGACTTACTAGTTCCCATGTTCTAATGTTCATAGCCTGTCTTTGCTTTCGGCCCAAGTGCCCCCTCAGAGCATACCTCCTGTCCTTTCCTCTTCCCAGTAACATGGATTTGCTTATTTTTAAAAGTGTATTCCACCATCTTAGCACTGATTCTTGCTTAAAGTATCAAATCATTTTGTCAGTAGGCTGAAAATAACGTTTTATCAATGAACTAGGAAAAGAAGATCCAGTGTTGTCCCACAGTTGTCAGTGCAAAGAGGTGCTGTCATGGTTATTTATAATAGCCAAAGTTTGGAAGCAGCCCAGCTGTCCATGAGTAGATAGATTAAAAGGCTGTGGTACATTTACATAATGGAATACTATTTGGCCATAAAAAGAAGGAAAGCTTACCTTTTGTGACAGCATGGATGGACCTGTAGTGCATTTATGCTAAGTGAAATAAGCCAGTCGGAGAAAGTCAAGTACCATATGATTTCACTTATACATGGAATCTAATGAACAAGATGAACTAAAAAGCAAAATAATGACGGACTCATAGATAAAGAGCAGGCTGACAGCTGTTGGCAGGAGTGGAGAAACTGAGTAAAAAAAAGTGACAAAATAAAACTCACAGACATGGACGACAGTGTGGTGATTGCTAGGGGTGGGCAGAGGGAGGTGGAGGAGAGTATGGGACGAATAAATGATGATGGACAGAGACTTGGCTTGGAGTGGTGAACACACAGTACAGTGTACAGATGATGTGTTATAGAATTATGCACATGAAACCTGTATAATTTTGTTAACTAGTGTTCTGCAATAAGTTTACTAAAAAGGAAAAAGATGTTTTCATAATCAGTGTCTCCGTTTTTGTTTGACTCAATCTTAACAATGTTTTGATGTGATTCTATAACTGTGTACATTTTTTTGTTGATACTAGTGTTGAATGCAGTTAAAAAATCTAAGAAACATACATCTCAAAATCAGAATGTTATCATTAATTATGACTAATATTTAATTTTCAGACAGATGTTAATGAACTTGCCATGTAATTTCCCCCACACAATGTAAAAGTTGCATAGCTGTATGTAAAATGAAGTAAACTACATTGTTGTTGTGTGTGTCATTCTGCACATGCACTTGTTTCCTTAACCGATTACTGCAGCTACGAAGAGCGAGCTCTGTATCTCGAAGCAATAATTCAGAACCACCGTGAAGTAATGACATTTGAGGATTTCGCAGCCCAAGTCTTTTCTCCATCTCCAAGCTACTCCCTTGGTGGAATGGGTGAGTGTCTACATTATCCTTCCCTCACACGCTTAAGACGCACTCAAGCAGCAGATGTACACCTGTTTTTCACAGATAAATGCTTGCAAATTTAAGGACAGCATTCTCCCTCTGAATCAACTAATGAATATCAAAAGGAATGATGACATTCATTTTAATTTGTTTTGTATCCAAGCTGTTCACTCCGTTCTTTTCTTCAGCTATCCTGTTAACCCCCAGATCTAGCAAGGTTAATGAACTTTTTCTCAGTAATGTGCTCTGGTTCATTCAGTAGTGTGGGTTTCTTGCTGAGCTGGGAATATGCTGTGTAAAAGTGATGCCTGAATTGGTGCTTACTTATCAAAAAAAGAGTTCCTCACAGTCGAAGCCGTTGATACTAATGCTAAATGGGGATTATCTTGCCCAGATAGTCAGGTCAGGGATTAATGGAGGAGAAATGGAAGGACAGTATCCTGGGTCCATCATTACAGCGGTGCAGCCTGCTAGCTTTCTCTCTGTAGTGGCCTGTGTCACATGGACCAGCCGCTGACCAGAGTAGCACTTGGTATGGAACCTGTTTAGAAACTGGCTTACAATCATTTTCATTGGTTAGGCAAATGCAAAATTTCAGAATTTTCCATGAATGTTTCTGTTTTTAGGTTTTACTCTTCTTATATTAACAATTTGGGGGGGAAATGTGTACTGCCACTTAAATTGATTGTATCATTACTGTGGGGTTTTGTTTTCAAAGAAGAGAATTACTTTTAAATTTCTGCATGTAATTACAGTTTAATTGCCTTTCAGAAAGCAAGTGGGATATTTGGTCAATGCATGTTGAAATTCTCAATGAAGGGCTTTCTTCTTCCACTAGTGTAAACACAACTGTAAGGGTGCTTAACAGATTTTTAACCTGTATTGATTGTCTCTGAACACCACCTTCCTTGTCCTATTCTGACTTGTTAACAAATATCTTCCACACAAAGTGAAAAAAAATTAAATTCAGTGAAATAAATCACTTACAAATAAAATCAGCCATGCATCATTGTTTAACATCCCTGGCTTCTATCCTTGCCTCTCCCAGCTTTGTTGGGAGATAAGAGGGAAAGGCTTGCACTTGCACAGGGAGCCAGGAGCATCAGGCAGAAGGCCTGGGAGATAAGCGAGCTGGCTGTGGTACCAGAGCCACACAATTTACATAATCATGCCTCTGCTTCCTGGTGAGGCGTCAAGAAACACAGGGATGGCCTCTATTGATCTTTGTTGAACTGGAATACTAAACTACATGAGAAAAGCTTATAACTTCAAGCTTTGATTAATGTTTCCTACATTAAAAAAGTAGAACAGCTGTGAATTGAATTCTTTTATACAGTCTGCCAACATTCTATCTAAAACCAGAAAAAGAAAAATCAGTTTCAAGAGAAATGAAGATTTTGTACCCAGTCTAGGCAGAGGTCTAAAATTGTTTATAATTTTTAGTGAAAGCACGTGAAAGATATGTAGCAAAGCTAATTTTTTAAAAGATATCATTCTGCTTTTTCCACCCTCATGTATTGGGACTTGAAATTTGTCAGTGCTTTTTGTCTGTTTGTTTTTTAAAGATTTTACTCATTTCTTAGAGAGAGGGAAAGGGTAGGAGAAAGAGAGGGAGAGAAATATTGATCCGTTGCCTCCTGCACACCCACAACTGAGGACCTGGCCTGCAATCCAGGCATGTGCGCAGATCAGGAATCAGACCAGTGACCTTTCAGTTTGAAGTTTGTAGGCTGGCGCTCAACCTACAAGTGTAGTGAGCCACACTACACTTGTGAGCCACAAGTGAGCCACACTAGCCAAGGCTGTTTTTTAAAATCTTGAGAAAGCTTTTCATTTCTTAAAATGAAAGAAATTAAATAATAACTAGCCCTGGTCGATGTGGCTCAGTGGATTGAGTGTCAGTACAAACCAGAGGGTCACCAGTTTGATTCCCAGTCAGGGCACATGCCTGGGTTGCAGGCCAGGTCCCCAGTAGGAGGAGTGCAAAAGGAAACCACACACTGATGTTTTTCTCCTTCTCTTTCTCTCTCCCCACCCTCTCTCGAAAAATAAATAAAATTTTTAAAAAACAAATTAAGTAAAATCATTTGTCAACTCAACTATTACATTCTTAAGGCTCTTGATTATTGAAACAAATATTGATGAACTTTATTTTCTAGGTATATTTTAACTTCTATATAAATTCGTTTGATTTTTTTCAAAAAGTTTATCATTACCTAAATCAATTCAAATAAGTCAATGTGTAGGTAACATCTTAAGTGAGATTCTAGGAGTAATTTGGATTTTTTAAGACCTGAAGTTTGGAGACAATTGCTGACAAGCTTCTCCAAGAATATCGCATTTGCCAAAGTCACTTAACAGATAAAGATTCTGACTGCTCCTAAGAGTGGACATTGGAATTTGTACAAAAGGAACATGAAACCAAAGATAGGATATCAAGACAAATGCTGGTCCTTTCTCTTTTCAAGTTATTAACATTAGTGTCACATTTTATAATGTTTGGGGTTTAGAGTATTCTGTGTGGAGTGATAAAAATACTTATATAGATATATCACATCAATCCATGAATGCAATTTAAGTTTGGACATAATGTTCTCTTTTAACGCTTTGCATATCTGCCCACCATAATGATTAAGAAAAAACTAGCTGACAACAAGCCAACTGGAAAAATTGACCCCCGATGAGTGGCTCAAGCTCCCACAGTGCACTGAAGACCCAGTCAGACCATCCTGGCCAGCAGTGTCATCAAAGCCAGGCCTTCGGCTCCTGCTCACATGCATATGCACAATCTGAACAAGTAGGGGCTCTCAGGTTTTCTTTGTATCCTTGCTACAGGGGCCTTTGTTGTTAACATAGAGGGAGAATAACCTGCATGCTTATTCATTCCACACTGGGTTTGTCACACCCAGTAGCCCACATTTTTAAAGGTAAGAACTCCAATGTCAGCCTTTAAGTTCCTGCTATAAGTAAGAGATGTACTAAGTGAGAGGGGCCTGTGCCCAAAGAGGCCGCTGTTGGAAAATGCCCTCTCCTCAGACTCTCCTGCCCCAGGGCTGTTGCTTGTCACCCAAGGCAGCCATTGATGGTCACAGTGGCCAAGTAAATGTGCCTCTATTCATGATTTACTCTCAACCACAGATGCAATGTGGAGTTTTTGTTGTTTGGCTAATAGGCGGGTGTTTAGCATTTTTTTAAAAGTTTTTTTGTTAAAAAAACCTATTTTGCCAGTCCAAAAATGTTGTTTTAAAATACCACCTACCTCATATCTATTCCGCCCATTACTTGTTTTGATAATACCCACTCTATAATCAGTATTTGAGCTGCTTTTTAACCTAGCCCTGTAATTTGCATTCCTTTTGATTCCTTCCTTATTGACCAGCAATCTTCTAAGTGGTAGCCAGTATTAAAATATTGGGTGCAATTAACACAAATGTGTGAGCGTTTGTATATATATATATATATATATGTCCATATATGTGTGTATGTGTGTGTTTTATGTATGTGTGTATGTGCATTTCACATACTTTGGGGGAGGGACTAAGTGTGTACTTGAAGCATGTTTCCAAGGAAGGGAGGGCCAGCAGAGAGGCCTTTAAAGGGTTAACTGGAATGGGCACCCTCGACTGCTGGGAGGGACTGATGTAATCACTGCAGCTAACAGCCAAGTGCATCTGTTCACCATGAGGTCATTCTTCTGCATGCTAATGATTTGGAAAATCAAGTATAATGCTTGACATTATCAGAAAATATATAAATAGTGTAAATCTTTGCTTTTTGGAAGATACTCTTAAAAAACAAAAGGAGAAAAAAGTAACTTTAGCTTGGACTTGAGATTATTTTCACAGAACTGCTTTACAGACTGTGTCTGGACCTTAAAATCTTGGAGGAATCTGCTTGTGTCTATTGATAAATGATCCCCAAGTCACTATTACAATTATAGCTAACAATTGGTAGTGAGGATTATAGATATGTCTAATTTAATATGTATTTTAAGAATTCTCACAGTTATTAACAACCACACCTAAAACAAAAGCAAACTAAAAGGACAGCGAGATCAGGAGTGGAAACATAGAAATGAAGATCTCAAGGAGGGTTAGCAACAGGGGAGTGGGAGGAGGAGAAGGGGGGAGAAGGTACAGAAAATAAGTAGCATAGACAGTAGATAGAAAATAGATGGGGGGCAAGAATAGCATGGGAAATATAGAATCTAAAGGACTTGAGACACATGATCATAAACTAAAGGGGGTAATGGTGGGGATGGGGGGGTAGGGTGGAGGGGAATGAAGGGGGGAATAGAACAACTGTAACAGCATAATCAATAAAAAAATTAAAAAAAAATTTCCAAGTGCTTTGGTCAGAAGTTGATCAAGATGGATTTATTTCTCAAAGAATGTCTAAAACCAAGAAAAGTGAGGGGTATTCTTCTTCATATATGAGCATTGACTGTTTGCTAAAGATGCCAGTACTGTTTGTTTTCCCTTCTGCTTTAATATTGCTCCCAGCAGAGGGAGCACAGACCTGTATTTATTTGTTAGCCTCACATGACACAACATGTGATTTCTCCCAGATATGGTCAGAAACACTTGCTCCTTCGTGTTAGGCTATATTGTAAAGGCTCCAGGATTTAGAACAAGTGGGAGAAAATTCCTCACTAGGCACCATCAGATTCTGCAGCTTTTAATATATATCATATTTGGAGCTTAATGCAGATTAGTCTGAGTTTGTCTCACGATGCTGCTGCCACTGCTGCTATTGTGAAAAGCTTCAAATTTTCATCCCTCATACTCAGGAATTGCCCAGGTGCCCTCTTAGAAAGGTTTATCATGCTTATCTACCTAACAGAAAAGACCTGAATTTTTTTTATGAAAAAATTATTGTATTAGGTTCACAGAAACTATCAGAAGAGTCTGGGTCTGTCTCCTAGCAGCCTGTTTCCTAGAAGAAGAGGTGCAAGCCAGGGCCACAACATGCGGAAATGCTAGCCCAGTGACAGTCCTATGGGACAGTCCTATAAATCAGAGCCATGGCTGCTGGTTTATTAATATCAGTTGAAGATCAAAACTAAAGCTCAGAACTCCATTCAGATAATCCAGAAGTTACCCTTAAATTCAAGTGCTCTTGTGACACTATCTATTCAGGAACCCACGGCCACCCAGCTCCACCCCCTCAGGTTGTAGCTGGGCAGGTATAGCCACACACCCTGCAAACAACTGGGTGCCCCGTGTGCACACTCCTTCCACCCCAGTAATCTTTCCAGACCCAGCCCAAATCTTTCTTCCTACATAAGTGATTCAGTTCTGTCCCCTTTTGCATATGACATTTGAAAAATTTTTTAGGTGTATTATACTTGAAAATGCAATGGAGCATTCATAGGAATTTTTTAACCACCCACTATCCCACTAGCTTATGCAAGTCTTTGTCCTCTGCGTTTGTTTTCTTCTATCTATAATAGGCTGTAAAATCTTCAGTGAATGATGCATACAATTTCTTTCTTATAATATATGCAACAGGAGTAAAATAGAAATGCAGACAGAAAGGAATCAGGCTATTGCTTTAAGCAGTACAAGTGTGTCTCCAGACCACAGATGTGTGTTAGGCCTGATGCAAGACACAGAACAAACACCTGCAATTGTGATTCACCTTTCCCCCTTCCTTTCTGGTCTCCTAGTGAAAGTGGACTAATGATCAGCAGTATGGCCAAAACTGCCATGGAGAATGCCTGGTTAATCCACAGAATGGATGATGCAATTTGAATAGCTGACACTTGGTTTGGGATGCTTTTGTAAATGTTATTCAAGGTTTTAAAGGAATTCTCAGTTGCCCTATTTAGTACCCAGTTTGTCTTGTGATTATTCATCATTTTTTCCTCTTAGAACTCTTACTCTCCTCAACATCATCTTTGGAAGGCAAGAAAAAGATGAGACAAACATTGTTTAAACTAGATCTGATAGAAAACTGTGGTGTCCCTTGTCAGATGTCAGCCTCTCTGGATTGGCCCTCCCCTCCCTTCCTTTGGCAGCGGCCACTGAGGAGGACTGGCCCAGGCATGGTAAGGAACCACAGAAGGCTCTGGAGACCTTGCGCTGTGCGTTTCCTTCCCTTCTGGAGCTTCAAGTCTTTTTAAGGAAAAGCAGATACTTGTGAACCACCAAAAATGGCTAATGATTAATAAGCCCAGATTAGTTAGCTCCAGATTATAACTACATGTCAAAAAACCCCAAAAAACAGTCAGCTAACCGTTTGCAGTTGGGTTGACATTTCCCTGAGATAGGCTGTGCCATCTGCCTTGTGAGCCTGAGAGAATAAAAACTTGCCTAATGTGTGTTAGATATTCTACTAAGCAGCCTGCCAGCCAATTTTTAACTTTCTCACATTGGCTAGGAATTGAGACATCTGAGAACTGGGAGGCCCTGGACAAGAAGAATATAAAGGCCAATCAATGTAGGAAGAGAAGAGAGGAAAAAAGGACCCCTTTAATAACCAGTGCAGGGATACGCCTGCTCCAGGGCAGGTTTCCAGAAAAAGAAGAGACCCGGGATTATTTATTCTAAAGTGTTGACGTTACATTTAATTTGTTCCTTTGCAAGAACTTGAAGATGCTGCTTTTTCTGTGAATTTCTGTCTTCGTTTAGTTCTGGTTTCTCAGTCCTTGCAGGGTCTTAAGAGCAAGTGGCATCTTCCTCCCTGCCTAACTGCTAATTATGGTCTCTGGGGATACTTCAGCAGTTGCCAAGAGATGGCCAGCAGGTACCAAGAACTTTTCTCAGTTTTTGAAAATGACTCTTAATTAAAGCTTACTGGAAATAACATTGAGAATTTGTTTCAGAGAGTCTGGAGGTAGCTTCTGACACCCTAGATTTACACTCCTGGTGAACCATGGCTGTGGTCCTCACGTCTTTCTGGTTCTCGTAGGTAGAACACATACAACCTCAGCCATTAGGGCGGTTCCTAGAATACTCCATGGCTTTGCTTAATTTTCTTTTTAGCAAAAACCAAACCAAAGCAGAGGCCAAATGGAGCCTCTCTTACCAGCATTTAGGTCTGCTGATGGAAAAAAGAAAGAATATTTCACACTTTTTTCCCCAGAAGGCTCTATGATGATAACCAGGACATTAAACCTCTAAACAGCGTAATAGAGAAAAAAGTTGAGTCTGTTTTCCCCATTAGCCTTTAAATTCTCTCAAAGGCTGAAAAAAAATCCCTTAAAAATTAGAACATGCCAATCAACTTTATTTTTAGAAATACATAAAGTATTTACAGCTTTGACATGTCCAAAATTCATTTCTCAGCCCTAAGAAACCTAGTAGCATCACTGTAAAGAGAGCCAAGAAAGACTAGGCAGATCCCCACTTTTCAACCACTTCAAGAACAGGAGACAATAAATTCCACCTACCTGCACCCTAAGGCCAGGTCCCTGCCCACAGCACTCAGCTGCTACCTGTGGTTGACACTGTCAATGAGCATCTCTCTTCTCGCCAGTGAGGTTGCTTGATGGTGAAGAAAGCCACTGCTGGTCTTCCAGGACTCACTGTGAGGTTCTACTCCCCCAGCCCTAACCTCAGGCAGAGCCAAGAGATGCAGGCTGCCTTTTAGTGGCTGCTGATATATGTTTGGGCAGACGCTGCGGCCAGCGTGAGCCTGTGCCTGGTAGTTAGGGAAACCTTGCTCCCTAGCTACATCCCTAGGGCTCCAAGTAGCTAGAGAAACAGCCCGACTCTAGTTAATGCCAGAGCCCTCTTTGACATCTCAGCGTGTGCTCTCTGAGTCCAGGCTCCTGACCAGGGGGTTGTTAGCTGGATCATCAGGGGCAAGAGTCCCAC